TTTTAAAGACTTCGTTTCTTATCCCTTCCATTACTTCTCGTGAATTTGATTGGTCTTTAATTCCCTTTCTCAATGATCATTTAACAAATCAGAGTACTAACAATTATCTATCTGTTGTTGCATACCTGAGTCTTCCAATTCTGTACCTGAAACCTCGCGAGTACTGCTAGTCTCGAGGAGCTTCAGGTTTATCTTTTATTTCAAGATATAATAAAGGATTGGCATGACAAATTCCTTAAGAACATAATACCTGATAGAAATAATAAGCGTAACATTTTTCCGGTCAAATAAATGATAACATAATTAAAGATTCCAATAATATAACGGAATATAAAACAAGACAAAAGTATAAACTTATAAGTATAAATCAATAAAATTAGTTATATCAAACGATTGATCGACATATGTAGTGTGTATAATGTCTGTATAGGTTAGGGTATAACAATAATAATATGGGTTGGCCATGGATATAAGTGGCTGTGTATATGTATGGGTTAACGAGTGTCGTATATAGGAGGGATGAGACGTAACAATATATATGCAATCCCCTGCATCCGTCAATTCCTCTGACGAGCTCAGCACCGTGCGAAGTGCTGACGTCCGCAAAAATGGACACGGGCAACGGCCTTCACTGTTCAAAGCGGGTCATCACGTTCGACCATATCCTAGTGATTACTATGCACCAGCCGGGTAAATGGTTATTTGTAGCGCCCACCGACGAACCAATTAGTATTACCTGGTATTAAGGTGTTTTTCATTACGATTATGTGGACAGTTGGATAAAACTCGATGATGAGAGATTACCGCCTAAAGAAATATTTTATTCAGAATTATATAATGAAGAAATTTCAGACTCAGATTATGCATCTAAAATTTGGCAAACTTTTCACATAGAAACATTAGGTGAATATTCTGATTTGTATTTAAAAATGGATGTTTTATTTTTAGTTGATATATTTGAAAATTTCCGACGTAATTGCTCCTCCATATAAAATTTAGATTCTCTTCATTATTATACTTCACCCGGCCTTGCTTTTGATGCTATGCTCTAATGCACTGGCGTTGAACTTGAGTTGTTAACCGACGTAGAGATGTTGCTATTCATTGAGAGAAGAATTCGAGGTGGCGTAGCTCAATGCTCAAACAGATATGCCGAAGCGAACAACAGATTTATGGTCGCAGAGTTCGATCCAAGTAAAGAAGAATCATATCTTATATACTACGATGTAAATAACTTGTACGGCGCAGCTATGAGCCAATTTTTGCCATTTGACTCCTTCGCGTGGGAGGAAAATTTTGAAAATTTACATGTTTTCACTATTTACGATGATTCTCTAACGGGCTATATACTCGAAGTTGATATGAAATATCCAATTGAACTTCAAGAACTCCATAAGGACTTACCACTTTGTCCAGAGCAACATACCCCTCCAGGATCTAACATATCAAAGCTGATGACAACACTCCCAAGAGAAAGATACATAATCCATTATCGAAATTTGAAACAGTGTTTGAGATTAGGTATGAAATTAACAAAAATTCATCGTGTTCTAAAATTTAGATAGTCACCATGACTCAAGAAGTATTAGTCCGGGAGCCAGCGACATATTTTGGTCAGTCATTTCAATCCGGCTGATATTATGTAATATGCTTCAAATGGTGTTGTTATAAAGCCTCGCGAACGTCAGCTGGTTCGGTAACGGTGGTTTGGGCAACGGAAGCCTCCCACGCACGTAAAAAAATAAATACATAAGTGAAACCAACCCGACTGAAACTTTATTTATGGTTTAAGTACGTTGCATAGAATACAAAAATAATAATCAGCTGACTGTAACGCAGTGGATTATACGTTAGCCGAAGCAATGAAAAGTGTAGCACATAAAACAGGTGTGAGCGCCGCGCGCACCTTTGATACAGAAGCTGATGTTCTTTCCACCGGCACATAGCCAGCTGATTGTTTTTTGTTTTGTTTTAAGTATCATATCACCTATTATACAATTAAATTTCAATCGTGTTGGAATCACCAAACTTTAATTTTTTTTTAAGCATGTTTGTATAAGCAGCTGACGTATAATCCACCGTGTTACAGTCAGCTGATTATCATTTTTATATTCTATGCAAGATAATTAAATAACAAATAAATGTTCAGCCGGGTTGGTTTTGCTTATTTACTTATTTTTTTTTAACGTGCGTGGGAGGCTGCCGTTGCCCAACCCACCCATGGTACCACAGCTGACGTCCACGAGGCTTCACACACAACAACATAATACGAATTACACAAATGAAAATCAGGCGGGTCGGTATTGGTCACAAAAATCTGTCGCTGGCTCCCGGACTATATGTACATAGATTTAAACACTAAAATGAGAAAAAAGTCTGATAATGATTTTAAAAAGAACTTCTTTAAACTTATAAATATTGCGGATTTTGGCAAGGCAATGGAAAATGTAAGAAAACAAAAAGATGTTAGACTCATTATGAAATGAGATGGAAGGTATGGAGCATACGCTCTTATCGCGAAACCAAATTTCCATAGCTGCACTGTCTTCTCCAAAAATATAGTTATAAACGAGCTAAATCGTATTAAAATTAAGTTCAATAAGCCAATATATGCAGGATCTTCCATTCTCGATCTCTCCAAAATATATATTTATGACTTCCATTATAATTACGTAAAGAATAAGTTTGGTGATCAAGCTAAATTAATGTATACTGACATTGACAGTCTCCTTTATCATTTTACCGTTCCGAACATATATGATTATATCAAATGTGATCTAGATAAATTCGATACCTCAGACTATCCCCCAGATATTGGGTTTGATGAAGGATGAAAAAAGTGGGAAAATTATGGCTGAATTTATAGGATTACGAGCAAAATTGTACTCTTTCAGAGTGCTAGGAGAAGGCAAAGCTAAAAAACAAGCTAAGGGGGTAAATGAATCCACACTAAATATAATCGCTTTCAGCGATTATAGGCAACGTCTTTCATACCATAAAAATGTAGTTAAAACTCAAAACTTAATTGAGAGTAAAAAGTATAAAGTTTATACAGTACAATAAGAAAAAATAACACTGAGCTGGAATGATGATAAAAGGGTCATTCTTCCTGGTACAACCGACACCCTTCCTTGGAGTTATAAAATGTAAGATGTATATGAATGTACAAATGTAAATAATATATAAAAAATATTAATAAGAAGACGTAATAAATATTTTAGTTCTGATTTATTTCAAACACCTTAAAAATCTGACTTATCGATCCACCTATTGTCTGAATCATCGAAACCTAACCACTTCACAAATAACTTGTTTCCATGTTTCCTCAGTTTCTTCCCCACAAGATATGTGTCGGGGTACTTGACGCTGGTAAGTTCACGTTCATAGAAACCACTTTCGATCGGATGATCCTGGTAGTCCTCAAGTTTGTACGTCACCGGATCGGTATTCTTCACTCGACTTACGGTGAAAATTTCAGTTGTCCAATTCAGTGTGTAGCCTTTCTCGAAAATGTATTTAAACTTGCTAATTCGTACTTTGTCGCCAACTTTAAACTCTGATCGTTTAAGTGTGAACTTAACTTTAGATTTCTTGTACACCCATTGTAGTAATTCCTCTCATTTCGAGCAGTCACATTTGTGGGCTTCATACCAATGGTGCGATGCTTACTGTTATTGTAAGAGGATACCAAGTCCGATAAGATATCCAGCCACCGGTGATTGCCTTGTAAGTTAAACTGTATCCACATCTTACTTTTCAGAGTATGATTAAAACGCTCGCAGATCGATGCCTTCAAGTTACTGAATGTCGAATACAGGGTAATACCGTGTTTTTGCGTAAGATCCTTGAATTCGCAATTATAAAACTCTCGACCTTGGTCAACATGCAATTTCTTTGGCATTCGACCCTGCGCCAATATAGATCTAATAGCTGCTATCGCGTCTTTAGCGTTCGTGCTCTTCGTCGGCACGGCCTAAGCAAACTTTGAAAATATATCGATGACGGTGAGCAAATACTTGTATTCGTGGTTCTCTCTGGCGTACGCTGACATGTTAACGAGATCCGCTTGCCAAGTCTCGTTTGGCCCACGGATGTCAACCTGTCGGCGCTGCTAATTTCTCCTGGCACGTTTATGCAGTTCCTTCACCACCGCTAACTTTTTTCCATCCATTCTCCAGCGCACTCAGTCTGGCGTCCAGCTGGGAAATGATCACAGAGTTGCGAATAGCCAATTATTGTCCTGAATCGATATCACCTTGTACACGTTTTAATGCTTCCTTCGTGGTAGAATCGAGAAATTGAATCATCAAGTTGTTGCTATCGATATCATTGCGCATTCCAGCAGTCACTTGAAACACGGTATTAACATCCTGCTTCACTACAGTTTTCATCACATTCAAGGTCTCAGCATCGTTTTATTCTTCACGTTCGGCAATGTTATAGAGCCTCTTGTTATCAATGTCGTAGTGTCCAGCAGCAGTGAATTTGAATCCAGTACTAGGGAGACCATGGCTACTCGTAACCGCAGCCCTGCTACTCAACTGACGTCCAAACATGTCAACGCTCATATTCAAAGTGACGAACGTGATTGTTTTATCGAATTGAAAAACTACGTATTTATTGCAAGCGCCATGGATGCGCCCAAAAACGTTTTCTGCACGTGAAAGGACATTTTATGAACTACTGATGTAATAGAGAAACAAATCCTTTAGTAATCCATCTCTACTGATTCCGTAGCAAGTCTATAAAACAGCTGACGACCTTATGGCACGACAAATAAAGTTAGAGAGGACCAAAAGGAACATCATAATGTGATATAATTGGAGTACTATCCCCAAACTCATGGCCTTGCTTTCAAAGTGTTAACTGTTAACAAATAAAACCATACCATTTTTTGATTCAACAGTTGGGTTCCAACCCTTTACCTGAAAAGAATCCCTAAAATACTCGATCACTTGAAATCTTCGATTTACGGTAGGTGTATGAACGATTCACAATCGCAACGCATCATTGGATATGTCGTCATCTAAATGCACATCCAAGCCTGAAAATAATAACTCCACGATAGATTGAGACCTTGACCTGTTGTACTGGTAGTACTTACGGGGTCAATCCATTGAGTAACATTACTCTGCTGACTGGCAACTTCGTCCACAACATGCTGCAAGGGCAATCGATACGTGCACCTGGTTTTGATTATGAAAGTCAGTACGATTACCAAAAGCCAATACTTATTATTCAATAATTTAATTAGACGTGCTACATATGAGTTATGTGCGTTACTAGGAAGGTCATACTCTGGTACACTGAGCGGCACTAATAGCGTCCCAGAGAGAAGTTAAGGGAACAGTGGCGAAGCTAGAGTGAGGACGGCCAGCAGCCTAGAAGCAAGCCAAGCCGGAGCGTAGAGGGGTACCCTTTTCCCCTCGCTCCGGACACGATTTATGTCACGAGTCGAAAGAGTCCTGTATAAGAGCGTCGTCCTCGCTCCTAGGGACGATTTTCTATACGACCCTCTCACTCGTTCTTAGTGGCAGCTCTCGAAGTCTCTCTAGCACGCACAGGAGAGTCTCATTCACGCACTCGCAGCCTGCATATAAGACCATCTTGCTTCCATTCATAGCCTGTATCGACGCTAACAGAACACTATGTCCGACCTCAATACTTGATTGATAGATATAATAAAGCAAGTCGCAGGGATAATAAATAATACTAGTGCTAATTAGGTTTGCTTCAGTTATCTCCAGTCATCAACTAGTTTCTACTTACATTGTACAGGGTGCGCCATCTCTGGGTACCATATGTTAAACGCTAAAACAATTGATGTTCATAAATATTTCGAAGAATATTCTAGCTCATTCGACAGGTCACTTCATACCATTATTCATCATGAATAACTTAACGCCAGCACAACGCACCCATATTGTCGAAATATATTTTAAAGAACAGTCCTCATTTACCAAAACTTTACGTGGTATGAGGCAGAAGTATGGGCGGAATTTCAACGTTACGTGGAAGACTGTATCAAAAATTATTCAGAAGTTTCGTGCTAGTGGCAACGTTAGTGATCGTGCAAAATGTGTGAGACCGCGTCCAAGGTGCAACAACGAGAACATCGAGCTTGTTCGGGCCGATGTTGAAAGAGAACAGAATGTGTCGTATCGCCGCCATGCTCAACAACTTGGTCTGTCTGGAACAACATTGAGGCGTATTCTCAAGAACGATTTACATTTTTTCCCATATAAAATCCAAATTACGCAACAGTTATTGCCAACTGACAAGCCAAAGCGTTTGAATTATGGAAATGAAATGCTTCGTTTGGCGGAAAACGAAAGTTCATGTTGGACGAAAATCATCATGAGCGATGAAGCTCATTTCACACTAAATCGACAAGTTAACAAACGGAATAGCCGTTACTGGGGTGCTGAAAACCCAAATGTAATTCATCAGATGCCTCTCCACGACCAAAAAGTCACTGTTTGGTGTGGCGTCAGTGCCACAAAAGTTTACGGACCGTTCTTCTTCGAGGACGACAAAGGAGTCCCAGTAACCGTCAATGGAACACGTTATCGAAGCATGATTGAAGATTGGTTTTGGCCATAAATCGCTGAAAATGGTTCAGAGCGGATGTGGTTTCAACAAGACGGTGCGCCATGTCACACTGCACGAGAAACAATGACCCTCCTCAGCAGATTGTTCCCGAATCGCTTGTTCTCGAAAAATGGCGATTACGATTGGCCACCGCGTTCGCCCGATTTGACGCCTCCAGACTTTTTTCTGTGGGGATATTTAAAGTCCAAAGTTTATGTAGGCGCGCCACGGACCCTTCAGGAGCTGAAAGGTGCAATCCGCAAAGAAATAACGGAAATAATGCCCGAAACGTTGCAAAAAGTTATGGAAGATGCCCGAGAACGAGCATTTCTTTGTGTCGTTCACAAAGGCGACCATTTGTCCGACGTTGTGTTCAAAAAATGAATTTTTTGTATTGGTATAAACCAAATTAAATAAATATCGCAAACCAAACTCGATTTAATTACGTTTTCACTATTTTCTAAGCATTTAACATATGGTACCTACTGATGGCGCACCCTGTATTTAAATTTAATTATATTAAAAAAGAGAGTAATTAGCTTGTTATAACGAATAATATTCTATTTTTTTTTTAAATAATTTAAAACATTTTTCGATTGAAAAAAATCTCAGCGTCAAATTAGATCAGAAAAAAAAAATCAGCCCGCGGAATTGAACACGGGACTGACGTTTATGAATCTAATACTCTACCTATTCGATTACGATTCATTTGCTAATGTTTCGTGCTGCTGAATGCATACACATAAAGTCTACCCGGACTTTGACGGGACGTGCGGATGGGACAAACCTATAAAACAAAAGCAAGAGAAAAAATGTATGAGTCCGTGTACCACAGGTTTAGCTAAAAAGGCGTGACCATCAAAATTGTGATAAGATTCGGTGACATTTTGATCTACGCTCGCCACTAGCTCTATTAAGAATGAGTCAATTTTCCATAGAACAGTAGCATTGCTTCATAGTTTACATAGAATAACTCATAAGAAAACTTGAAGGTCATATATGCAACGCTCTTATACGTTCTTATACGCAGGGTGCGAGCGCGTGAGCAAGACATTATACGCGCTAGAGGGACTAGCCAGGGAAAAAGGCTATCTCTTCTACGCTCTGGCCGCTCTACTCTCGCTTTGACTCGTAGCCTGTATTGGCGCAACGTCCTTGACGATAGCTGAGGTATTGGTGGAAGCCAGAGAGCCCACTGGTTTGAGTGACACATTCTTATAGGCAGGGAGCGGGCGCGTGAGCGAGACGCTCCTAAACCCGCTAGAGGGACTTGGAGAGCCACCACTAAAACGGACGCTAGGAGTGAGAGAGACGATCTTATACGGGACTGCTCTGACTTGTGACAGAAATGATGTCCCAAGCGAGGGGAAAAGGCTACCCCCACTATGCTCTGGCTTACCTTGCTTCTAGGCTGCTGGCCGCCCCCACTCTCTCTTCGCCACTGTTCCCCTAAATTCTCTCTGGGACGCCATTAATGCTGCTCAATGTACAGCTACCACTCTCTAATGAGAATCTTAGCTTAACCCGATAGCACATTTCTGTCCTTTTTCTATGTACCCGACTGAAGGTGTCGCGCAATGTGGTCCATTATTTCTCCACATTTGCAGCTGTGATATATAACATAATACACTCAAATGTATATAACGAACAAAATTACATACCTGGCATTTGAATATTTTATACTCTTCTCTTCGGAAGAAATCTCATGCCAATAGTCTTTCCTTTTCGCGATATTCTTGAAATTCGGATCACTCTCATCGTAGACAAAATTGTTTTCTCTAACAACATCAATAATGTATTCGTCTATACGGTTCACCATATTAACAGGTAATAGGTGAGAGTTAATACCAAATACAAGTAATACAATTGTAATACGAAAATATTGGCGGTGTAATTGCTTGCCGTTATGGTTCAGGGAATGGTAGAGTCGGGACAATCCCAATGCAGCGTTTCGATATCCATCAACTTAGCAACCGGCATCCGTACCGTTGATATGTACAAGACGTCGTTGAAATTGTAGAGAATTAACAAACGCTCGGTTTGAAAAAACAAATTTCTGTTATCTGATTGGAGGATGCAGCAGAATTTCATGAAAATAGAATTGAATGCCGCGCCGATTATAACACTCCGTGTTCCGTATTTTGTTGCATTGTAGAATGGTCTTCAAATGAAGAATGACGAAGTTATTCGCTTATAAAGGTGAAAGTTATGAAGAATCGCAAGATTCATGCCAACGGAAAAGTTAACGGGCGTGAATTATAGGCGGCCAAACAGCACAGTTCAAAACGTTCAACCGAATACGTAAAGAGGATTCCGGTGTAGAGAAAGCTCTCTTTCGTATGTGAAAATTTGTTACGCATAGGTAACTCTCTCGCGTACAGGGACTAATACAACAAGGTAACCAGTAGTATTTTCACTAGGCATGGGCAGGTGAACGCCAGTAGTATCCAGTTTTTTGGCGCGTAGAAGAATACCAGTTATATCTGGCAACTTCTCGCGCATAACGTTAACATGAAAGACTCAAGTGGAAGAATGACTTCCGTGGAAATGTATTGGGGTTTTCTCACTGCATTAGGTTTTGTTATTTGTTTAAATTAATAAATTTGATTTTCCTTGACATTTCAATTCGTACGAATTATTAATAGCGACAGCGCAATCCCAATATTGAAGAAGATTCTAAGTTAAGAGGCAATGCGTTAAGTAATTTACGAGTATTCACGGATAGAACTGCCTCGCTTCGTTACAAAGTACAGAAATCGTCAGTTTCAAAAAATTAGTTCCTATTTTTTTAACAAAAGTAATGAGATTTTAATAAAGTTTTCGATTAAATTATAATTACGTTCGATGTATGTAGCAGGAGTTACAAAACCAATTTTCGCAAGAAATTGATCGATTTTGGCCGTTAACCGATAAAACCAAATGTCACGAAAAGTAAAATCGGCATAGTGGAAATTATGGTCAACTTATACGATTACCCATGGACGAGCAAGTTCAAACACGAAGTGTCCTATAAGCGGTTAAAAAAATGAGCAATTTCATTTTTTTTTCTTTTTATAATAATATACGTGGTGTCTAGATTCATCGGAATTAATTTAGCTACTATTTCGAGCTGTATATGGCGCAAAATAAAATTTCGAAATATTTTGAGTGTAAATTATTTTATATAACACCATACCAATATGAAATTTTCAACAATATACTATCTACAATAAATTCAAGACACATACCCGTACTTTAGAAGCTGTATGGGGGACGACTATCGGAGCCTCCAACTGAATATTCAAGACGTCGGCTCTATTTCCTATTGAAAAAACAGTACCTCTGTTCTTTAAACTATTTTTATGAAAAATTCCTCTGCCAGCTGTATCTTCAACGCCCATTAAATCATCTTTTGTAGCTCCTTCTTCAAACTGTAAAATTTTTTATTAAATAGCACATGGGCTGAGAAGAACATTTTTCATTAATGAAAAATAAAAATACGACACAAAGTTTATCTACTGATGCATAGGCTACTTAATATTTCTTAATGACTTTAATGCCAAATTTTATGATTTAACTAACTAAGGAAAAATACATTTCTTTCAATCCGATTTCTTTAAAACTTGTTATAACTAGTAGTATTTTTAATCGTTTTAAATTTAAAGTCGTTATAAATTTGTATTTTTAGATTTGCATAAAACCTATTTAGCACAAATTGTTACCATACACAAAACACTGAAGCCTGATATTCGGAGTTATTTTGTTCTACTAACCATGAACCCAAAGTCAAATCTTACAAATTTTGAAAATAGAAAATGGTGAATCCAAAATGTTTCTTTTAACACATGCTCAAAGAATACCCTGTAATATGTCACCAAAAGTCACCTCAAAATTGTATTTCTTAAACAAATGACTATGATCATAGACTATAAAAAGTAGAAAATAATCCAAGCAAGATCCCACCATCTCAAGGGTCCACACTGTTAAGAATTTTCTGTGTCTGATTTTATGTCCCATGCCGTGAATATTGTATTCGCGGACTTAGCGAATCTCGAGAAGAACCAGCGAGGGACCATCGACGTGGGAGGAAGGAGGACGGAAGGCTGCGCGCGCTGTCACCACCTGAGCTACATAAATTGGTCTACGCGTACCGAGTAACCGTCGACATAGAAAATGGACTGCGCATTCCCTATGTCAGTAACGAACAAAATATGTCCGCTATTGTACGATTAAGATGGAGCGAGGTTACGACCATGGAGGAAGTAGACAAGGTGTAGCGGTTTTCGAGACGTGTTTTCGAACCTACTGTGTAGCCAATAGCACCGGCCATTTTGTAACATGTATATAATGTACATATACCAGAACGTACATATAGCAGTACATAATACATCGTAGCCATGACCGTAGCTATCCGTGCAGAATTGGAGGGAATCGTGATCGATTTAAAAAAATAAACGTAAGTAATTAATTTCTAAAACAATTTTGCAAACGTTACTCTTCTTCTCTACTTCTTAAAAGTAATCAAATATCCAAAAATACAATCTGAATACAGAATAAATAATGATATACCATTCAACGTTATATTGTGTTTAGTACGAACTAGAACATATATTCGGCTCAGTGAATTAATTAAATAAATAGTCAATTTCTGTGAGAATAAAAATTCAAAACACAAAATTTATAAGATGTCAAATAAAAAATAAGTTTGTATTTTGGAATAATTATTTAATATAGTCCTTTCCTGTCACTTATTCCCTTAAGGGGGAACATACACCTGGAAACGGAAAAAAAAGGTAATTATCGAGAATTTTTTTCAGGGAAACTATTGGAACTATCGGGTTGGGTTTTTTTTCTAGTTAAAAATATACACTTTCAAGAATGTTTTTAATTTTTTTTTTTTGTTTAACAATGTTGAAAATTGACGGAGTAGTGATGTCATCTACGGAGTGCCGTAAAAAAATCGGCTATTTCGGTACCCACTGGCGTTTCGTAAAAAATCATCTGAAACAAAAAAATCAAAGAGGATATTAAAATAGCTACTATTATCCTGTCTTTGTCATAGCCGATTTTAAAAATATCGATTTTGGACAAAATGGCAAACGCTTGAACTCAATGTAGCCATTTTCATGCAAAAATTCGTTCGTATTTTGCCAAAAAAATAGAAACTAAGAATCAGAAAAAAAATCCGATGACAACGACTAGATAATTATGTATAAAATAACCATAACAAATTTCAAGTTATTTGGTTCAGTGGTTTCCGAGTTATTATGGGTACCGATTTGAAAAACGTTGTTTTGAGAAAAACGCGTTTGAAAATTTGTCGATGGATAAATTATGAAATTTGTTCAACTTACACAAAGTCATCGATTATAGGTCCATAAGATAGGTTCTCCGAAGTAGAAGTACGCCCATATCGTCTACCTAGGTCTTCTGGCACTGGAACATCTCGTGTAGTCCTCAATTTTTTTGCACTGGCACTAACATTCGATTCCGTTCTTTCTGCGTCGAATCAATTTTTAGGCGCTATTTTCTTCTTTTTTTACGATCTTTCCGCAATTCACTCGATTTGTGACTTTCTCGAGAACCTTTACTCCTTTCCACCTTTACTCCTGTATATTTTTATTCACAATCGAAGGTTTCGATACTTGCCCTATGGCATAGTTAAACGGACGGAAAACTACTGACGAAGTACGCTAAGTTTCTGTCAGGATAACTGTTATGTTTAAAATATTCAACCCAGACAGGCTATGCAGGACCAATAAAATACTGATATACAAAAAAAAAACACAATGGGCACAATAAGACCGAATGGACGGCGCCGTACTACCTGTACGACCCGACGCGGCGCGGCGCCGGTCCAACGAACGCATGTACTATTTGGGCTATAACTTTGTCATTTTTTGGAATTTTTACTTAAATTTTTCACCAAACATTCTTAACAAATAAACTTGAAGAAAATGTAAAAATTGAAAAATCTATTTTTTGGACCCTGCCAGGTGTATATTCTCCCTTAATGGAAGATTTAAACCCCGCCTCGAATTTATGATGTAACTACAATAGAGATAGAACTGATATTTGTTATAAAGTTTTCTTCAAAACCATTTTATACAGAAACTACTAGTCAGGCCGGCGTGTAATTGATAGATATACTCTATTCCTTTTTTATTCAATAGAAATTTTCGAGAAAAATGTTTTATAAGATTTTTTTGTTATGTTCACCAGAAACCTTCCTTAAAAATTCTTAAAGGAATATACATCTCGTCTTTCACTCTGATGCGATCCCCGTATGCGGTTTCTATTATTTTCATGCAATCAGTGTACGTGTTTAGATTCACGTCAAACAAATTCGATTTATAACGATGATGTCGACGAAGACGGTAATGGTGACAATACGAACAACGACAGCACGGCACCCAATGATAATGGACGCAATGACGATGACAATCAACATAATAACGACAATAAGACCGATGATAATTTTAATACTGATGATACCACAAAAGAGGTTGAGCTCATAGGTGGAAGTAGAGTTCTAATCTCTGAGCTAGACTTGGTAGAAATACAGCGACGTTGGATTGAAAAACCGAAAGAAATGACAAAACGGATTTTACTTAGCAATTTAGGAAAATCGAACTTAGCACTAATGTCTCGAACTGAGAGAGGTAATAGAAGATACATTCCCGAAGCGATACTTCGTGCCACAGAAAGTATGAGTTGTATTTTACTATTTAATTTTGAGTAACAATTCCAAAATTACAGTAAATACATATTTCTCATAAAATAATTTTTGGCTTTTGTATTTAATAATACCGAACGAGGATTTCATCTCACGCATCAGGAAATCAACACCTGCGTTACAAAATTGTGTAATACCCTCCGGAATCCCATGTGAAAAAGTAAACATAACCTGTGATAAAACTGGACTGTAGTACTAAATATTAATCTGACTTAAACTGTTTATATCTTTTTTCTGAATTTTATAGGTCCATTACAATATGATGAAATTTAGGTCACCTAAAAAAACTGCAATAACAAATTTACCGCACGAAGAATGTGTCTTCTGTCTGTTTAAATGACACAGTTATACATATGTTGTAACGTGGCGTCAGGACGACACGTTACAGAAGCCCCGCACCTCCGCGCGCTGCCGGCAGCACGGCAGTGCCTCCAGCCTCCATCTCCAAAGAGTTCGTAGGTCCGTGGTTCGGAGGAGGGAACGGGGGAAAGTAGTGGACTGGCGGCGGAGGCACGCAGCCCTTTTGGGTTGAGAGCCCGCAAGGAAGGGGTGCTCAACCGCCAGGACGCACTGCCGGTACCCCGGAAACTTTGATCGGCTACGGTTTGCGGGTCCGCGGGGAGGGCGCCGGAGAGGAGATTTGTTTTGATTTTTGACCTACCGCGAAGAGCGGTAGGTAGGATAAAGGGAGTGTGTCGCGGGGAGTCCGCGTGTGAGGACACGGGTGTCCGGCGGACCGCGAAAAATAAGTCCTTATTCCGTGCTCGGGCGATAGCGGAGCTATCGGATAATCGCGGATTGCGATTATCGGGATCTCTCGCAGAGAAC